GGATGATAACATGTAGAAATTAGTCGGTTAAATGTAGGTAAAAAGAGTAAGAATAATGAGATAAAACATAAAGAAGAAAGAGACACTTATTATAACAATCACCACCATGATTATAACAACCACGACCATGATTATAACAACCACGACCATGATTATAACAACCACGACCATGATTATAACAACCACGACCATGATTATAACAACCACGACTATGATTATAACGACCATGATTATAACAACCACGACCATGATTATAACAACCACACCATGATTATAACAACCACGACTATGATTATAACCACGACCATGATTATAACAACCACGACTATGATTATAACAAACACGACTATGATTATAACAACACGACCATGATTATAACAACCACCATGATTATAACAACCACGACCATGATTATAACAACCACAACCACGACTATGATTATAACAACCATGACCATGATTATAACAACCACGACCATGATTATAACAACCACGACCATGATTATAACACTCACGCCCATGATTATAACAACTAAGACCATGATCATAACCACTACCATGATTATAAAGACCACGACTATGATTGTAACAACCACGACCATGATTATAACAACCACGGCCATGATTATAACAACCACGACCATGATTATAACAAGCACGACCATGATTATAACAGCAGCGACTATGATCATAACCACGACCATGATTATAACAACTACGACCAAGACTATAACAACCAGGACTATAATTATAACAACCACGACTATGATTATAACAACCACGACTATAAGTATAACACCCACAACCATGATTATAATAACCGCTACCATGATTATCTCATATACTATAGGAATAGCCGTGTGTCTGTGTGTGTGTTCTGGGCAGCCGAAACGGCACAATCGTTTTTCCTCAAACTTGGTGAAAAAATCGCAAAAAAAGTCGTAGAGTGGAACAAACCTGGTCCCATGTCGATGGTTTCTTTAGGAAGGCATTAATTAACCATTTTATTTATGCTGCTAAACGATGTCGCTGTACACTGTCAGCAGGCTGGAGGTTGAGCGCTAGCCAAGCACGAGCGTTCGAACTTTCACGCTTTGGTAAACTGTACCACCAGACTCGCCACCGGGCACGAAGGGCCCACGATCACTTGTTAATACTAAGAGTCTGGAGGACACAGCGGTAGCACATGCTTTCAGAGAGCAGCTCGAACATGGGCTTGTAAACAACCCAACGGCAAACAACGCGAATCCCAGTGCTGAATGGGATACTCTTAACACTTATGACAAAAACCTGCAGAGAGACCCTCGGCCAGATCAAAAGAATACACCAAGATTTGTTTGATAAAAATGACCCGGCAATCAAAGTAGTCATCGATTATAAACCCTCAGTTTCAGACCAAAGCTGATACCTTACGCAAGACGAAAGCAGCAGCCCAGCAGGAAATTTACATTCTAAACTCTAAAGAATGACTAGCTTGAAATTAAAGCAAGTGAAATACAAAAACATGCAGATCAGCACAAGATGCGGGAATTTCTCAATTCCATTAAAACATTTTATGGGCCAACCACTCGTGGCGCAGCCCCCCTTCGCTCATCTGATGGTAACTTCATAATTAAAGACGGTGAAGGCCTCTTTCAGCGCTGGAAAGATCACTACCATTCATTGCTCAACCAAAACACCGGTGTGGATGTCCTGACTACCCAGCAGGTTCCTCAGCATCCAGAGCTGACCCACCTCAGCTATCCTCCATCCCTGGATGAGGTAGCTACTGCCATCAAACAGATGAAAAATAACAAAGTCTCAGAGCCTGATGGAATCCCAGCCGAGGTGTATGAAGCAGGAGGACCTCTGCTTACCAGACGTCTCTACTCTCTCCTGCAGAATATATGGGGAAAGGAGGAAATCCCCCAAGCTTTTAAAGACACTTTATTGTCAATATTTATAAGAATTTGGGAGACCGGTCAGACTGTGGCAAATATAGTGGGATATCGCTGCTCTCCATAGCTGGCAAGATTATCGCCCGAATACCCCTAAACAGACTTCTTCCTGAGGCGGAAAACTTCCTCCCAAAATCTCAATGTGGTTTTAGAACATCACGTGGCACCACTGCCATGATCTTTGCTTCCCGCCAGGTGCAGGAAAAGTGCAGAGAACAGCATCGTGACCTGTACGTGGCTTTCGTCGACCTAACCAAGGCCTTCGAATCGGTCAAAGGAGAAGCCCTATGGTGGTCCCTCAGCCTTTTTGGGTGCCCACCAAAATTCATCTCCATTGTGAGGCAACTCCACGATGGTATGAACGGCAGTGTCCTGCACAGCAGCACCCAGTCTGATTTGTCCCGTAGCCAAACTGGGGTTAAACAAGGATGTGTACTGGCACCAACTCTCTTTTCCATTTTCTTGGCTGCCTTCCTCACTCGTGCCAGCGTCAATTTAGCCAGCGGGGTGATCATCGAGTATCGGGTGAAGGGGGGTCTTTTCAACATAAGACGACTCCAGGTAAGAACAAAGGTGTCGGCAGCTTCCATTACTGAGCTTTAGTATGCAGACGATCTCACCCCTGTTGCTCACACTGTACACGAACTGCTGGAGATCCTGAACACCTACGCACATGATTATGCACTCTTCGGCTTTGTGGTGAATGTGTGTAAGTCTCAGATTCTCTTTCAACCTGCCCCTGGTTCAGACACACCTCCACTATCTATCCACCTTAACGGTAATACCCTCTCTAATGTTACCCACTTTCTGTATCTCGGCTCCCACCCTTCCACCACCGCAGACATTGATGAAGAGTTTCAGCATCGGATCAGATGTGCATCTCAAGCCTTTGCCAGACTCCGAGACCGTTTATTCAGCTGTAGGGAGCTGACATTATCTACAAAGCTGCACGTATATCAACCAGTGGTCCTCCCCACCCTGCTATATGACAGTGAGACATACAGTTCACATACAGGTACTTGGGGGCGCCGATGGTAGAACAGTACTGCTCTTGCCTCGCCAGCGAGATGTCACGGGTTCGATTCCCGGGACGGTGGAAAAGTTGTTTGGACATACTTCTTAGCCCTCATTGGTGCCTGTTCACCTAGCAGTAATGTAGGTACCTGCTGTAAATCGAAACTTGCGAATTCGTATTCAGAGAAAGTTGTTGGAGCTTCGAAGAATTTGATGACATAAAACCATTGACTCTTCAGGCTTCTACGCCCTTGACTCTTCAGGCTTCTACGCTATTAACTCATGAGACATAAAGGCAAGCATGAACTTAGCATGCTTCGCTGTTGGGCCCTGTAAACGCTTCTGCGCTTTACCTTACACAGGATGTAGGGGTGTGCCCAATATAAAAAAAAAAAAATACAGCTACTTGAAAACTTTCACCAACGTAGTCTACGTTCCATCCTCCGAGCTTGTTGGGAAGACAAGAGAACATATGCCAGTATTCTTTCTGACACCAACTGTCGGAACTTCGAGGCTACCGTTATTCATGAACAATTACGTTGGACTCGCCATGTTACCCGCATGGAGGACAGTAGACTGCCAAAGCAGCTACTTTATAGTCACCTAACGAATAGTAAACGTAGCGCCGGCGGGCAATTGAAAAGGTATAAATATAGTCTTAAGACAAACTTGAAAAAGTACCAAATCCACCCCATAACCTGGGACTCCATTACTCCACATCGTAACTCTTGGAGAAGCACCAGATGAGAAGGTGTCAATACTTTCGAGTTAGACCGACTGCAAACCGAGGCAGACAAGCGCCAATGCCGGAAAGACGCTGCCATCGCCCCTCCCACACTAGATGCAGCCCTCCACATACGCAACGAATGTGGACGACCCTGCGGGTCCCGTATCGGCTTCTTTAGTCATCTTAAAACTCACCAACCTAGGTGACAAACTTAATAACTCATATCATTGTATCATAGCTGGATGATCGTTATACTCGATTCCGAGTGACAGCAAAGTAGTAGTAGTAGTGTGTGTGTGTGTGTGAGGCTATTGACTGCAGTCAAACTAGCGTCATGTGGGGAAGCCCTTGTGCAAGGGTTCAGAAGAATAGAGATTCTAGGGACTGAAAGAAAAAGTGTCTTGTAATAATCAATTATAGTGTTTTAACAGGTATATTGGCATGGCTGTTAGTAGTGGGAGGTGGAGACAAACTGGCATATTATAGCCAATCGTCGGGTAAGTCGGCTTCAATGGCAAATACAATATTATTTTGGTTTTATTTGTAGATGACGATATTTATATATATCCGATCTTTTGTCTTTACATTCTTTCAACCGGCTTTTATTTCTTTTATATATATATATATATATATATATATATATACAATCAACACCTCAACCCGCCAGGATTCGAACCCACGGCACACAAGCCTATGACTGTGACCAGGGAACGCTAACCGCTGGACCACCAGGATACTAAAAGTAGTCCTAGACTTTGTTATATTTTACACAAAGCCTGTTCAACGAGCTTATGGCGTCGTGAACCTCTAATGGGGACCACCCGTATCACTTAGGTGGTCAGAGTAAAAAAAATCCATCAAGATATTTCCTGATCTTTTTTCACCAAGACCTAACAATTTTGACCCAAGTCTCGAGCTTTACCAGTAAGTGCTAGTAAATATTCCACTAATATACAAGAATTTATACCAAGACATCGATACAGTATTCTTCTTCTAAGATTACACAATTTTGTACTGAAACATATATTTTTTTTCAGCAATACCTAAAATATTTTCACCGGCATCTAAACAAATTGAAGCGACACCAAAAACTAAATTTCCAGAGAGACAGTTTTTTTTATTGAACACCTACACTAAGTTTAAAATTATAGTACGACTTGACAAATTTTCTAACACAACCTAACAACTTGTCCAATAAAACATTGTAATTTTCCATCAAACCCCAACAATATGTCCAGTACGACCTAACAAGTTGTCCATCAACGCTGAAAAAAAAAAAAATCCTGCAAGAACTAACAATTTCATCCTGGAAGGCAGACTTACGTGCAGATGGGCGCCGTAGCCAGGAGTCCCCATAAAAATCCAATCCGTCTTGGAGGATTCGGCCGCCTGAGGCAGGAAATAAGGACGCTCGTAGTGCACCCGTAGGATATTGGCTGCAGCTGAATCGCAGTTACTCCTGTACGAAGGAAAGAAAGAGAGAGAGGCGGGGATGAGAGAGGAAGAGCGTGAGGGAGAGGAGTCAGAGAGGTGAAAGAGGGAGAACGTGAGGGATTGGGGAACGAAAATGTTGATTGAGGAAGAATGTTAAGGGGAAGAGGAGCGACAATGTAAAGAGATGGAAGGCGAGAGGAAGCGGATGAGTGAAAATGATGGGAGAAGGGAAAGGGATGACAAAGACAGGGTGAGATTGTGAGTGCATTAGGAACATGAATTTGAAGGATGTTAAAGGGAAACTAACACTAAAAAGCATAAATGAGAGAGAGAGAGAGAGAGAGAGAGAGAGAGAGAGAGAATCAATTCATATGATGATAATAATCCACTAGATGAAAGGGCAAAAGGAAGAGTGATAAGAGTTAACATAAAACAAATCGGGTAATGAGGGATGAATGGTGATAAAGTGAGAGAAACAGAGAGATATAGAAGTGAAGATTAAGAGCAAATTACAATTAAACGGAAATGGGAAATCTAAAGCAAATATAGGTAATGGAAGTGAGTAAAAATAAAAGGAAAACCAAATGATGTGTCGGTGAAAATAGAAACAAAAGAAAGAATGGATGGAACGTGATTGTGAATGCAGGGACAATAGATTGGGCGATGGAAATATATACAAGATAGATACAACGAAAAATTTTTGCTCTGAAAAGTAGTAGAATATTGACAATTCAGCAAGTGGGAGGTACTGATAAAGGTAATAACATAATAAAAAATTAAAAGGGATAACAATGAAATAAGGGAGAGAGACACAGCCACAGGTGACCATAACATTAACAGCTGACATCAATCTGTATTTACATGATGTCATTTTATCAATATTTGGCGGGAAGAACTTTGTATCGTTCAGCGAGCAAGACTGCCACTAGAAGTGAATTAGGAATCGGCTAGATATGAATAAGTCGTAAAGTGCATCCTAGGCATTTGTATAGAATAAACCCTAAAAGAAGAGGCTGGATCCACGAAGCAAGATTCCTGGTAAATGTAAATAAGGCATAAACTATCGTCAGAAGTTCATGCAAGGTACAATATAATCAAGGGGTGCATGAAACGAACATACCCCATAAAAGGAGACTTTCACCGTATGTGAATAAGGCATGATCTTTAGTTTTAGCGTTACCTCAGACGGATGGGATTGAGGCACAAAACCTAGGTTAAGCGATGATTTTGGGGCCCATGAACAGGACCAGACCAACATCACCATGTTTATATAACATCATTTAGCCAAAATACGGAGTAAAAGACTTTATCACACGTAACGAGACTCACGTTGGATGTGAATAAAACATAAAATTGAGTTTTACCGTTGCCTGTGGTGAATATTCAAGTAAATAAGGAACCCTCTTGAAGTTCACTGTCCGAATTCTCAAAGAGACGTACGTTGGGTAAATTTCCAGTAAGTGAGAATAATTTTTTCATAGTTACATAACCCTGACACCATTTTGAAGGGTAAAAATTCCAAGGGCTAGTGAATTATTATTGATCTAAGGGTTTCACCTGATCTGACCCGATCTAACCTATCCTCATCTACACCCAACCTAATTTAACGAAACCAAACCAAATCTAACTTAAACGCTCCTAACCTAACTTAACCTAACCTAAAGGGCAAAGCAAAGCAAACCAAACAAAACAAAATTAACTCAACATGACCAATAGATCACTGGAACATCATAGAGTAGTCTAACACCTCCGGTTAGTTGGTATGAGAGGAGGAGGAGGATGAGAAGGAGGGAAGGAGACGTAGGAGGGGGGTAGGTGATTTAATGCACGCTACTTTGAGAATTAGGAGTCTCGTGTTTATGGTGCAGGAACATCTCATTTTCTCTGAGATGGGCGTCAGGGTGATGATGCTGTTGGTGGGTGGGATGACACACAAGAAGTTTGGGACGATAAAAGGAAGCGGAAGAGGATGAACTTGGCGAAGAAAGTGGTGCAAGAGAAGAGGATAAAGAGGTGTATACATGGTGAACGAGAGAAAAGGAAGAGGATGAACGTGACAAAGGAAATGGTGGAACAGAAGAGGGTAAAGAGGTGTGTACAGGTTGAACGAGGGAAGAGGATGAACGTGGCGAAGGAAATGGTGGAAGAGAATAGGGTAAGAAGGTGAAAGAAGGAAGAGGACTAAAAGAGAACACGAAGTATTGGCTGAATAAAAATATGAACAGTAATATGAGAATAGAGGGGAGGTAAGTAAAGGGAAAACAACAAAAAAGATAATGTAAAAATATGAATGTAGAAGACTAGGAGAGAATAGATGAAAACGAAATGAAGAGGAGTAGGAGGTTGGGAGGAAAATATAACGGAACGAAAACAGAGTAGAAAATATTGTATTCAGATAAAAGAAACTTGACTTATAATGGAGAGAAAGAGAAAAAAGTGAACAACATGACTTCACATCTGAAGATACTATGACAAGGTTCACGTTGGGTTGCTTAAGTTAGTTACTGCAGGTTCATCATCATCTGATCAAGTATCATCTCAACACAACTGTGGTGGTATCATTGTAGATCAATTCCACAGACTGTGTACCAGAAGGTTACTATCGTTCAGTCAAAATTTGGTCAGTTACGGTCAAAGTTGAAAGAGTTACTGTGAACAATATCAGATAGGGTCAGTTGCAGTGAATGATAGGTAATTTCTCTTGAAGCTAACTGATTTAACAGGTCAAGTTAAGGATCATCTCACCAGCCAATGTACCAGGGGTCACCTCGCATCTCAGCTCTCTCGGCAGTCATGTTGAAGACGTGTCGTAGGTTGCGGAACTCCGTCTGATAAGGGAAGAACTGACAATCTCTCTCGAAATTCTCTAGCACAGGGGAATCGTCGGCGTAGATGGACTTGAAGAAGGCGAAGGAGAAGGTCTCGGGTGCTGTCCAGTTCTTCTGTCCGTCAATTACAACCACTGGACGGCCACTGTAGGCGTACCTGACGGAGCAGAGGAGGAAAGGTGATTAATATCTTCTGTAAGAAGGAGGAACTGCTTGTAGAAGACTTAAAGCCAGCGACCAGTTTTATTCTTTGTTCCTGGAAACGGCCGCTGTACCTGTAGAGACATGAAGTGAGGAAGAATTGATGTATCCTGCAAAAGGAAAGATGTGACTTTGAGAAGGTTTAAGTTTCCTCGGTCCATTCATGATCAGGTCAACTGAACAGCAGACCATTACAGCATGACGCATTACGTCATGAGAGCCTCTCTCATTGCCACGCCCACACAGTCAGTACATAAGGCATGGGTACCATTCCCACTAATATATTTTTCTTGGTGTTAGCAATAATTTATGCTTTGTTAAAAACTGGCTTACGAATTGTTAATACTACTACTAATACTATTACTAATAATAACAATAATTTCCTAAATATAAAAATAAAGGATTGGTGGAAGTAAACTGTACAGTTCCCACCAGTATATATATATATATATATATAAAGACGAAAGCTAAGGTGCTCCGTTGTTTCCATTTTCCCGTGTGATTTTATCAAGATATATATATACTGTATATATATATATATATATATATATATATATATATATATATATATATATATATATATATATATATATATATATATATATATATACCAGTATTTTATCAGCATAATTTACAGAAGAAACCACCCCAGTATACTGTATATAGAGTGACAGATTACAAAAAAGAGGTGTAAAAATAAAATAATATTTACATTGCATCTCTTAGAATTCGGAATGAAACCATGAAATGTCTGAGTCATAAACTGTTTTCTTCTTTTTTGTGTTAAAGCACCCAAACACAGCACAATTAATCGGCATTGTTATTAGAATACTACTGTCTCACATAAAACCACAATTCAACTAGTCAATAGATGATCTTGCAGAAAAATAATAATGACGTCTGTGCCGTTCCCAGACACACACAAACGCTGAGCCAGCCTCAGATCAAGGAGGAGCTTGTGCTACGCCAACAAACTCCGCCTTGGAGCTTCTCCTCCCTTTCCCCTCCACTCATCAATGACATAATCTAATATGCTGTGCCAGGCTAAGCTGACCCCACCTACTTCCAATGGTGCAGAGAGAGAGAGAGAGAGAGAGAGAGAGAGAGAGAGAGAGAGAGAGTAATATTTATTGTAGAGGGGCTGAATACTTACTTAATTCCCTGTGTAGATAAATGTCAACAGTTCTCGTGTAGAGGGGAGTAGGAAGGGAGATGCCATAATGAGGGAGAGAGGGATAAAGTGAACATGAAGAAGGAGAGAGAGTGAGAGAGAGAGGGGGGGGGGAGGGGGAACAAAAAGGTGAGTTAAGGAGGAAGGGAGGAAAAACAGAATAACGAAGAGAAAGAAGCTTGGAGGGAAAAATAAGCATACACCGTCGGCCAAGGTAGTTAACAGTGACCCATGATGTGAGGAGTGAATGAACCGTTGAGACCTGTTAGTATAACCATTACCTTCACATTTGGATAGATAAGTGTATAATTATGTATGTATGTATGTACAGTATGTATGTCTTCTGTCTGGCTACATTTTTTCTTTAAGGGTGTATATCTCTCTTTTCTTCTCTATTATTTTCGTCTTTATTAATGTCGATATTTTATTGGCGTATACTTTGCGGATATATAAAGGGGGTATGTTGTGGACGGTATGTTATGGGGGTATGTTGCGGACGATATGTTATGGGGGTTTCTTGTGGACGGTATGTTAAGGGGGGTATGTTGAAGGGTTATGTTGTGGTGAGTATATTTTGGTGAGTATGTTATTGTGGTGGTCGTTGTGGGGAGCATGTTGTGGGGAATGCTGCGGAGAGCATGTTGCGTGGATATGTTATAGGCGGCACATTGGGGTATGTTGAGGGGTATGTTATGGCGAACATATTGTGGGGTGTATGTTGTGGGGGTGTATGCTGTGGGGTGTATGTGGGTGTATGTTGTGTGGGTGTATGTTGTGTGGGAAGAGGATGTATGTTGGGGTGTATATTGTGTGTGTATGTGGGTGTATGTATAGGGGTGTATGGTGGGGTGTATGTTGTGGGTGTATGTTGTGGGGTGTGTGTTGTGGGGTGTATGTGTGGGGTGTATGTCAGGGGTGTATGATGTGGGGTATATGATGTGGGGGTGTATGATGTGGGGGTGTGAGGTGGGGGTGTGATGTGTGTATGTTGGGTGGTGTATGATGTGGGGCATATGATGTGGGGGTGTACGATGGGGGTGTATGATGTGGGGTGTATGTTGTGTGGGTGTATGTTGTGTGGGTTTATGTGGGGGTGTATGGTTGTGTATGGTGTGGGGGGGGGTGTATGTTGTGGGGTATGTTGTGGGGTGTTGTTGTTGGGTGTATGTTAGAGGGTGTATGTTGTGGGTGTATTTTGTGGGGGTGTATGTTGTGGGGTGTATGGGGGTATATGTTAGGGTGTATGTTGTGGGGTGTATGTTGTGGTGTATGTTGTGAGGGTGTATGTTGGGGGTGTATGTTGTGGGGTGTATGTTGTGGGGTGTATGTTGTGAGGGTGTATGTTGTGGGGGTGTATGTTGTAATGCAAGTGTATGATGGGGTGTATGTTGGGTGGGTGTATGATGGGGTGTATGTTGGGTGGGTATATGATGCTGGGGTGTATGATGTGGGGTGTATGATGTGGGGTGTGTATGATGTGGGGGTGTATGTTTGTAGGTGTATGATGTGAGGTGTATGTGGGGTGTATGGGGGTGTATGATGTAGGGGTGTAGATGGGTGTATGTTGTGGGTATATGATGTGGGGTGTATGATATGGGGGTGTATGATATGGTATGGGGGTATATGATGTGGGGGTGTATGATGTATGTATGTTGGGTGGGTGTATGATGGGTATATGATGGGGTGTATCTGGGGTGTGTATGATGGGGGTGTATGTGGGGTGTATGATGTGGGTGTATGTTGTGGGGTGTATGATGTGTGGGGTGTATGATGTGGTGTGTATGATGTGGGGTATATGATGGGGGTGTGGGGGTGTATGATGTGGGGTGTATGATGTGTGTGTATGATGTGTGGGTGTATGATGTGGGGGATGTGATGATGTAGGTGTATGTGGGGGTGTGATGTGTAAGATGTGGGGTATATGATGTGGGGTATGATGGGGTGTATGATGTGGGGTGTATGATATGGGGTATATGATGTGTGGGTGTATGATGTGGGGGCTGATGTGAGGGGTGTATGAAGTGGGCGTATGATGTGGGGGTGTATGTTGGGTGGGTGTATGGGGTATATGATTGGGGGTGTATGATGTAGGGTATACGATGTGGGTGTATGTGGGGGTATATGATGTTGGGGTGTATGTGGTGTATGATGTGGGTGTATGTGTATGATGGGGGATGTGGGGTGTATGTGTGGGTGTGTGGGTGTATGCTGTGGGGGTGTATGATGTGTGGGTGTATGATGTGTGTGGTGTATGATGTGGGTGTATGATGAATGGGTGTATGATGTAGGGGTGTATGATGGGGGTGTATGATGTGTGGGTGTATGATGTCGGTGTATGATGTGTGGGTGTATGATGTGTGGGTGCATGATGTGGGGTGTATGATGGTGGTGTATGCTGTGGGGGTGTATGATGTGTGGGTGTATGATGTGGTGGTGTATGCTGTGGGGGTGTATGATGTGTGGGTGTATGATGTGGGTGTATGATGTGGTGTGTATGATGTGGGGGTGTTTGATGTGGAAGGGGGTGGTAGAGCTGACGATCCGTACGTAACCACAATAAAAAGCGGCAAACAAGACACCTCGTCTTCTCATGTAAGTGACGACACCCGAAGAACAGGAGGAAGTCACAGGTCACTTTGGTCCAACCTGCATCTCCCTATATAATTCACACACACACACACACACACACACACACACACACACACACACACACACACACACACACACACACACACACATAAAATATGAAGGAAGGAGGCGAGGCTGGCGTTGTGTTAAATTCTCGTTATAAGTTGATGGTGAAAAACTTGACCTTTTCGTCGGGGCGGATCCTCACTCCTGTGGAATCCTGACGAAGGTGAAAGATTCTACTGGAACTTGTGTGTGTGTGTGTGTATCAAACCAAAAACAAACTAAACAACCTCTTATGGTCGCTGCATGGAATGTCAGGACCCTTCTGGATATTGGCACAAATGAGCATCCTGAAAGAAGAACTGCCCTTGTAGCAAAAGAGCTAGCTAGATATAACATCGACATGGCAGCTATTAGTGAGTCCCGGCACCCAGACGAGGGTCGATTCACAGAACGGGAGTCTGACTATGCCTTCTACAGGAAGGGTAAGCCTGCTGCGGAGAGAAACGGCATTTATGGAATTGGGTTTGCCATTCGCCAATCCATCCTACATAGGCTAACTGAAATGCCTATTAGGATCAACGAGCGCCCCATGACGCATAGAGTCCCACTGAATCATTCACGTCATGCCTTCTTCATCAGTGCATACGCCCAGACACTGGATACAGAGGATGACAACAAGGAGGCCTTTTACGCCGACCTTGACAGAGTGCTAACCTCTATCCCCAGAGAAGTTAAGGTTGTGCTCCTTGGTGAGTTCAGTGCCAAAGTTGGATGAGATGCTGATATGCGGCAGGGAATCATAGGTAGAAATATAGTAGGCAAGCATAATCCCAACAGCCTCCTCAACAAGTGTGCTGCATACAACCTCACGATCACCAATACCTTGTTTAGGCAGGTTGACAGGTTCAAGGGTTCGTGGTAACAGCCAAGATCCAAACACTGGCATCTCATTGACTACATAATTGTAAGAGAAATAGTTCGCCGAGATTTCCTCATCACCAGAGCCATGAGAGGTTCTAACCACTGTGACAGTGATCATCGGCTCGTCAGTGCCAAACACTCACTTTACTTCGCCCAAAAATGGCAAAGGTAACAAGAGTCCAGAAGAGATTTTAACACCAAACGTCTGAATGATCCAGCATTAACACATCCTTTCAGAGAGCAACGTGAACATGGGCTGATAAACAACCCAACAACAAACAACTCAATTCCCAGTGAAGAATGGGGCATTCTCGACACTGTCATGACACCATGACTGGTGTGATGAAAATGCCCTGGAAATCAACGTTCTCGTCGATTATAAACGTAATGCTCTAGCTGACTTGCAGAACAACTGTTACGAGTGTCCGTCATCTCTTTCTTTTCTTAGTATGAATTATGTTGGTTCGGATGGTGTGTGATTAGCTTGAG